AATAAAAATTCGTAAAACTAAGAAAAGTTATGGGTTGAAATAATAATTTTTTTTTTTATTTTGGCTGCTGTAGTTTGCTTTCCTTGAATTTTTTCCATAAACATTTGAATTTACCAGCAGGTTTTAGAGATAATGTTGATCCAGAAAAATACACGATGGTGTTTGGATGCCTCAATTTGATATTCCAGAGGAGAAGAGAGGAAGTGAATCTCGGATGACTTCGAGAAAAATGACTCCAATTATTAACCATACAACAAGAGAAAATAACTTACAGTCTCATTATTTTCTTTGATCATACTGATATTTCAAGAAATTAGAGTCTGCTTAGGGCGCGGACTTTTCATGGCATTCCAGTTGGTCAACTCGGTCAACTTGGGATTCGTTAGTTTGTAACCATATCAAATTTGAGTATGACAGCGATGTTCGCAGCCTCAACATTAAAAATAAGCAATAGTGAAAATAAGGCCTGTACGGGATCTGAGCCTCTGACGTCTGTTCATTATTGCGCAGATCGCTTTCATATTCACTTCTTTTAACCACAGCTCACGAATATCGTTTTCACATATTGACAAACGTTGACATGTCAAGTTTATGTGATGGATTTTCTCAATGATGCCATCATTTTAGAGTGTGTTGCGAAAAATCAGGATAGTAACATGGTAATTAACTTATGACTAGACATTAAAACAGAAAAAGCGAATGGTGTAAGTTCGAGAATCTCAGTCTTGTAAGTCGAGGCGACACATGCTTTCGTAAAACATATTTTTTAGTCAATTATGCCTTTAATAAACTGGTATTGCGTTCTTCAGAAAGATCACCACAAGATGTTTACGGCCACCGGTTGGTAAAATGTTAATTTCAAGGATGGTTTTCATTTGTCCGAAGAAAACGATTTCTAAGACTTGTTCCCCCACCGTCCCAGACTCTCGATTTTAGGGCAACACTTCAGACGAGCTATTGGAAATAAAAACTGATAAAAGGTAATCACCATAAATTGTTACTAAATTTGAATTGTGATGATGAAAAGAGAAACAGTCTTGATTTGTCATATCAAGTTCCCCTTTATATCAAAGTAAACTGTTTAA